TACATATAAAAATTATACTCTATTATTATTAGGAGTATTTTGAGTATTTATTATTGAGTATTATTATTATTGAGTATATTATTATTGGGAGTATTTTGAATTTCATCAATAAAAATTTGTGGAAATTTGTTTTTTTCTTGTTACATAAGTACCTACATAATAGCTTTAATTTTGCTTCTTGGCCTACAAAGTCCAAAATATTTACTATCTGGCTGACCCCTGCAATAGAAATTTCTAGCTCCTGAAAAAATGCATGCAATGAGTTTTTGTACCTCTTATATTTCTCTGCCATAGTTAGCATTAGGGCTCTGATGATTTGAGCTCTTCCCTTCCCCCAGTCTTTTCTTCAAGCTAAAATTCCCTAATTTCTTCAATGTATCTTTGTATGACGTGGATTTTAAGACCCCACCCCCACCCCAAGTACTGCTTATTCCCTGCTAAATACACTCTAGCATGTGGTGTCCTCAAATGGAGCACAACATCCTAGATGTGGTCTAACCAGGACAAAATTCAGCAGGACCATTGCCTCCCTCATTCTGGGTATTATATTTCCATTTTTGAAGTCTGAGAGCACGTTAGCTTTTTTGGCAGTCCACATCACACTGCTGACTCATAACGAGAGCCAGCAAGTCCATTAAAACATTCCAGGCATGAGAAGCTCCAGAAACTATCACCTTGGGAAATAGGGGTACAGTACACACCTGAAGGACTTTTCACACACAAAACTGTGCTATGTTCATTCCCCTTCCTGCTTCGCATTGGTGCTATAGCCACAGCTACTCAGAGAGATTCTAGAGACCCCTAGGGAGTCATAGCTGTATTAGAGCACCCCACCCCTCTCTCTTGTTTCCCCAACTCCCACTATTATTGGTAGGTGAGTCCCCAAAGAAAGTCTCATTACTTCTCCCCGCAGGGTTCTAGGGGGTAATCCTGAGAGATTAGACATGGTTTTCTAGTACTAGGTTATGAGCCCACATCCAATGTGCTCTCCATTGATTATCAGTCAGCCATATAATTAAGTTCGAGAAAAGGGTTTTTAATAACATGATATAGTAAGAACAGTTGGTACAAAAACCTTACCCTAAAGGTCTAGGACACATTGTCTCCAAAATATGTATAGATATCAGGGGAACCTAAGCTTAGTGGCACAGGGGGAACTCCCAGTTCCTGAATGGATAGATGTCCTTTTTTGTCTCCTGATTTTTCAGTCATCTCCTCACCATGCTGGCTGCCTTCCAGTCATCATCTTCATTCCCCCTCCCCACTTCGACCTTATATTCAGCTATTTTTTTTCTTTTTATCTTATCTCACCTTTAACCAGGCCTACAGACCACTTCTAGGCCATGTCTACACCATATCATATCTAGCCCCTGCCAACTACAGCACTTCTATATACATTATAAAAAACAATTAAACAACAACAACAAATTAGAATGTAAGCTCTTTGAGGGAATGGAATGTTTTGCTTGCTTGTATTTTTACCTCTACTGCTTAGCACAGTCCCTGAAACTTAACAAATCTCTCTCTCTCTTTCTCTCTCTCTCTTTATGGAGTCCTCATGAAGTTTCCCTATGGTGCACAGAAGTTTCTATGTGGTCTCTTTCTCTGTTAGGCTCCAATGGTCAGTGCTTTTATAGAACTGAGACTTGCACTTCTCTCAACCCTGAAGAGGTCACATTCCCTAAAGCCATCTTTCTTTGATGTGTCTAGTTTGTCCTTGGGTTCACCGCTTTCCTGGGAGCTACTAGCTCTGATGGGAAGTCCAAATCTTGCCCTCTGGCAGAGGCTGTTTTCTCAAAGGTCTCCCAAAATTTGACTAAATTCCAACCTGAATCCTTTCTCTGATATATTCAAGCCTTAATTATTTCAACCAACCCCAATAAAATTCCTTTATGACTCTCTTATTTTATTCAATGTTCAAAAACACTTCAGTCTCAAATTGATTAAGGATTTGCCTAAATTTAATTTACTCCTTTGATTTGTTTAGTATGAAATGCATCAGAAGGATGGTCCCACTTGATAACACTATCAGAGTACAGAGGAGGTTGTTAGTTACATAGTATAAATTAGGGTTAAGGGTTTGGGGAAAACCCTCTTACATCATAAATAACCTAATATTTATTTTTAAAATGCAATTTTCATTTTCAGTTTAGAATTCTCTCCTACCTACCTCCTCTTCCTCCCACTGAGAAGGCAAGAAAAACAAAGCCAATTACAAATACAAATAACCAAGCAGAACAAATCGCTGCATTAGCCATGTTTTTTAAAAAAAAAAAAAAGACAGAAAAGAAAATGTACTTTAATCTGCACTCTGACTCCATCAGCTCTCTATCTGGAGGTAATATCTGAATGTAATCTGAATCTCAAATCCTATTGGTACAGGACTTTATCCTTACTGATAGAATTCAATACCCTATGCCTGCATGAGGGACGGGGTAGAATCAGCAAGAGTTGGGGAGATCTGGTCTTTTCAGTCTCTTTGGGCTCTTGAATCACTTCAGCTGTATTTGGTTTCCAGATTTGAGAGAGAAGATGCTCAATGCCACTCCCTCTTCAGGTTTCTAAAGGGAGAAAAAGACTCTAGGAAGAAGCTGACGTAAGAGTTCACAGCAATCTCCATCATGTCCCTGTTGCCAGTAGAGACTTCTGGGCATTTCCCCTAGGTTGAGATCTGGGATTCTCTTTCTTGGTAGAGAGGAGTTACCGTGCTCCTGATGGGAGAGCTCTTTCACTCTGCTGGCTGCCATGTAGTCTCATATGTATACTTTCTCTGGTTTCTGTTTTGCTATCAACTTGGATAAATGTGTTTCTTTGCCATTTACTATGTGTGTTCATTGAAGAACTGGTATTCAGCGAGAAGGAAGTTATTAAGCCTTGGATATAAAGTTCAGGGTCCTCCTTTCCCCTTTTAGAAACAATGATCAGGAGGTTAGCTTGAGCCTAAAGATCATATACCCTAAATTCATAAAATTTAAGGAAACAGATGGATATAGTTCTAATTTGGTACCCCCTCTCTTTTAGGAAAGCAGAGTTGTGGCCAGCTTCTGGTCCCAAACTTCTGCTCCCCCTCCTTGCAAGAATTAAAGACTCTCTTGGAGAAGGGTGGGGGGAGAAGATATTAGAGATGCCTTGCCTGAGAGCCACACATAACACACTTCATGTGACGCTAACACTTATTAAGAGTCAGTTAGATGGTGTAGTCAATAGGGCACTGGACCTGAAGTCAGATTAAAATCCAACTTCAGATATTTACTAGCTGTGTGACCCTAGGCAAGTTAATCTCTGTTTGCCTCAGTTTCCTCATCTGTTAAATGGAAATCATAATAGCACTTACCTCTCAGATTTGTTGTGAAGATCAAATGCAATATTTGTAGAACTCTTTGCAAACCTTAAAGTGCTATGGAAATTCTAGTTCTCATCACCATCATATTACTATCACATCATATTACATTATCATCATTTACTATGTGCAAGAGAGACAATATGGTATATGGATAGACAGCTAGCCTTGTAATCATGAAGACCTCAAGTCAAGCCCTATTTCTTAGCTAGATTGGCTGCATCACTGAATAAGTCACTTAAACCTATCTGTACCCCCAGAGCAACTCTCTAAGATTGTTGTTCCTCCTTCATTTTTGTTTGTTTTGTTTGTTTTTTAGGCAATTGGGGTTAAGTGACTTGCCCAGGGTCACACAGCTAGTAAGTGTCAAGTGTTTGGTCTGAGGCCGGATTTGAACTCAGGTCCTCCTGACTTCAGGGCCGGTGCTCTATCCACTGCGCCACCTAGCTGCCCCTCTCCTTCATTTTTGAAGAGGACCAATTCAGTACAGCTGCTAATCTGCATTGGCAGATGGAGTTTCCTCTCTGGGAGTTCTTACATAAATGAAATCACAGGTTTAGACCAGGGGGAAAAGTGCCAGGCCCTATGGTGTGTGCTTGGGATTTGTTGTTGTTCAGTTGTTTTTCAGTCGTGTCCAACTCTTCATGACCCCATGTGGGATTTTCTTGGCAAAGATGCTGGAGTGGTTTGCCATTTCCTTCTCTAGTTCGTTTTATAGATGAGGAAACTGAGGCAAACAGGATTAAGTGACTTGTCCAGGGTCACACAGCTAGTATCTGAGGCAGTATTTGAACTAGTGTCCTCCTGACTCCAGGGCTGGTACTCTACCTACTGCACCACCTAGCTGCCGGGGTGCCTGAGATACAAAGACAACAATTAAACAACCCCTGTCCCCAAGAAGCTTAGTTTATCATTTAGATTTAGGATCATAGACCTAGAGCTGGAAGGAAATTTGGGAGTCATTTAGTCCAACACTTTCATTTTATAGATAAGGAAACTGAGGCCCAGGGAGGGGAAATGACTTGTCCAAGGCTACCCAAGTCTTAACTGGTAGGGCCAGAATTAAAAGTCCTACAACTCCAAACTGAGTGTTTCTTCCATTGTACTATAGTGCTCCACAACTGACATCTTAACAATTTAGAAATGCAATCTGGGGTTCAACTCCTACCACTAATACATACAAGCTGTGTGACCAAAGGACAAGGCACTTAACCTTTCAATGCCCACAGACAACTCTCTAAAACTACAAATTTCAGATGAGTTGTCAATCTGCATTGATGAGGAAGTCTGTACACTAGGAGTTCCCCAAACCCTTGAAATCACAGGTCTTTCTGGACCAAAATGAAACATAGCAAACTCCTTGAGAGCAGGGTCTGGGTTGGACCTGTATTTGTATCCCCAGTTCTTAGGGTAATGCTGAGCACAAAGTAAGCACTCAATAAATATTTATCAAAAGAACAAATTCCCCCTGAATTCAGAGGCGAGGAGCAGCATATCAAGGAGATAACAGAGGATGTTGTTCCTTTAACTGTGCAGAGTCTGGCCCCGTAAATGCAGACACTTGTCTGCCCTGAGAGAGTTTCACCGTCTCCAGAGCTGTCTGCGACTCTGCCCTTCTCCAAGCAGGTCAGAGGGACCTGACCCAGGTCCCCCAACTCACCCGCAAGGCTGGCAAGGAACTGATTTGATCCATGGTCAGGGTGGCCTCTTTGTAGTACTTGCCCCTGGGACACAGCTTGCAGAAGGTGTTATGAATGCTGAAGAAAAGAAATGGAAGGGGAGTTACCGAAGGCCCAGCCCCACCAGCATCACTGTTAAGTTCAACATCTGGAATCTTAAGCCAAGTCCTAGAAAATCTCTATCTCTTCATCACTCAGCTGCAAGATCAGCCTATGTTCCACTGTGGAATAGAAGGATTTCTCTCATGTTCCTAGGCCCTTAGAACCTTATTTCTGTCCAAACACCATCAACAAATTCAACAAATATTTAATAAACTCCTGCTTATGTGCAAGGCCCTGAGCCTAGCTTTTAAGAGACAGGAGAGAGAGAGAGAGAGAGAGAGAGAGAGAGAGAGAGAGAGAGAGAG